GTCAAGGTGATGCATAGTACCCACCTTTATGTTCCTGACAGAAAGCAGAACTATAAAAACAAGACAGTACTGAGCTAGGTAGGCTTGTCATGACCACAAATCCAAGAGCAGTAAGGTAATGGGTACGAGGTGGTGACACACATGGTTATGCCACTTAAATAGCTGTCCTCAATATCTGCTAGAAACATGCAATTTCCAATCTTTCTGATGCCATATTTGGGAGGTGCTATGTGTGGGAGATCTGGCCCAGTCAACAAAGTACTGGCCTCACAGACAGTGCAGGACACAAAGGGAGTCAAAGTTCAGAGAGGACTTTCTGCTAATTCAAAGGATTAAGTCTGAGAAGTCAGACAATTCAAGCAGGTGAAAGCTTAAAGGATTTTTAGCAGGATATGAATATAAAGCTAATTATAGCCAACCAAAACAATGTAGTCCCCAGTTTATACTCTATTTTTTTAATATATAGAATGAAATAATGAATATGTTGGGGATTTTTGGGTTTGGTTTGTGCTTGTACGTTTTTTGGGAATTTTTTCCAACAATCCCCTTCCTAACAGTAAAATTACAAGTATCAATGAATCCTTAAGATTTCCTTTGGGCAATGTAGTTATTTTAAGATAACAGTCCTGATACATTTGCAGTTTCAAAACTAAGTTTAGCTCAGACATTTCAAAATAAGAAGCAAATGTTCTCATCCTAAAGTTAAAAAACACTACTCTTTTTTTTTTTGGGGGGAGGGGGGGGCGATATGTGTGTCAAAATAGCTGTTTGCTTTTAAAAGACCTGGTGCCAAAAAATTTCCTGATAAAGTAGGAGTTGGTTGTAAGGGATAAACTAAGAAATACTAGTCATATTGTGGAGAACATTTTTCTTTTACTTTGAGCTATTACTAGTCATTGTGTGTTGCAGAAAGAAAACACTACATAGGAAACTACACTGGGAACTTTCTTCTGTGGGATCTAAACACAGTACAGATGGGTCCTGGCATTTTAAATCCACTCAGGTTAGTGGAAGTCTCCATTAAAAAAATGTACAGCAGGCCTTAGGACATGTACCTCAGGACGTGATGTAACGAACCTTTAGCTGGCATCCAGTGCCAACTGATAAAACTGTTGCCAGAACTTGCTGCAACACAAATATAGGAATAGTAAGAGTAAACTTTTTAACAAGACAAAGTCTTTGCTCATGGCAACCTACAAAAACTTTGAATCAACTTAAATCCACCTTCTTGTGTCCCATTCCAAAGCATAGCAGTAGAATTTTACATTGCTTGGAGATGCCTGTTTCATTTGGGAGAAATGCATTTCAAGTACTCCATATGCTATTTTAGAAATACAGTCCAATAAACTTGCTTGCACTGAATAAACCTCAACTTGGGTACTTAAATGAGTGGGGCTATTAATAAAATAGACTAGCACTCAATATGAGAAGTAGTTTACTCTTGAATCTTGAGAGCAAGATTATGCCAGAATGATGCAGCCAATTCCAGGCTGTAGCATCCAACCTGGGGAATTTCACAGAGCATCATCCTTCACAGAGCAACTGCACTTTCTCTTAGGACACATTATGCCCCATTCATACTGCCTACTGCTGCTGGGCACATTTAAACTGAATTTGCAGGCAGAAATCCCTGTTCAGTGAGGATATGAATAGGATATGTCTAAACCAACAAAAAAAACTTTTTTTTTTTTTTTCTCTCACAGCATCACATTTTGTTTAAACCCTGGAAAGAGTTCCTCTTCCTATGCTTTTCCATTTTGTGAGCCTCTACTGCTTAATAAACTTCTATGAAAATCATAATTTTGAGAATAGGGGA